TCCTCCCTTTTAGGAGTGTCAGCGAGCCCCCGGTGCCAAGCTAGCTGACATGGCCCCAACAGAAAAATTTAGGTTTCATTTTGGAGGTGGGCAGGATTCAGTAGGATGCAAGAAGTAATGAGAAACTTGGTTACACGGAAGTTGTAAACACAGAACAGATAACAGAAAATCTTCCGCAGCGGTCAATGTAGAAACGGTGCGGCGCAGTACATAAAACAACCGAAGTAACACATAGAACCACAACAGAACAGCCGTAGAAGAATCTGAAAAAGAAATGATTGTCGAATTAAAATGAGAAAAAGGTAAGAAAAAGAGGTTGAAAGAAAACAAAAAAAATTTCAACAACCAATTAAGGATCCTTCCATGACTCAAAGCTGAAAGAACCTGAATATGAATGTTTACTTATGCACTGTTGTTCATCCACAATCTCCACACATCCCTCTATAAGAGGGATCTCCGGAAAATCTGGATGAACAACCAACAGCAACCATCAACAGAGGTAATTTCCACAGTTCAGTATACTTTCTAAATCAAGCTCTTGTAAACCCCTTTTAAAAATCTCACTATTTTTGGATGACAATAATTTAGCAGGCAGACGTCGGAACCAACGTGCGCAGCGGTAGAAAAGAAAGTTGAAAAGTCCAGAATAGTTGTATTTATTCAGCCTAGGATAGCAGAGATTGAAACTAAAGCGTCTGCAGCCAACGGGTCTAAAGACCCAAAAGCTGCTGGCGCTCAGATCTACCTCTTTTCGCAAAATACGAAAACAGAAAACAAGGTCAGCAATACTTCTTCTGGTTCTCAGCGACTTCAATCCAGTCCTTCTAAGCCGATCCTTATAATCTGGTACTGTTCTAGCAAAGATATTTTGAGTTCGAGAAAGAACCATTCTTGTGAAAATGCGTTGAACTTTTTCAACTTTAGAACTTTGCTTCATACTTACTGGATTCCACACCTGGGAACAGTATTCCAAATGAGGAACCACATAAGCCTTGTATAATTTCGTCAGAATAACAGGGTCAGTAGTGGATGTTTCGAAAAATTGAAAATAGTGAAGAATAGGCTTTCTTTACTGCGTAATCAATGTGCTCTTTAAAATCAAGATTAGAATCCACATACACGCCCAGGTCTCTTGCTACGGAACAAGGAACCAACTCTCTTCCATTAATTTTGTAATTCATTGGCAAAGTCTTGCCTAAATGCAGAAAAGAGCATTTATCAGGATTTATAGATAATCCGTTTCTCGAGGCCCAGACATTTAATGCATTAATTGAACACTGTAGTCTCTCATGAACACAACAATGGCTCTGCTCATCGTAAAAAGCGTACATCTTGATATCATCAGCATAAATTTGAAATTTGATCCCTTTAGAATTCATCAAATCTGGGAGATCAAAAGTAAATATCAGAAACAGTAGTGGAGATAGCACCCCACCTTGGGGGACACCACTAGAACAGTGATATCGACCAAAAAAAAGACTGTTTCATTCTCACTGTCATAAATCTGTCTGAAAGGTAGGACTCAAACCACGTCAAAAGCTTCCCAGAGATGCCAAAATTCTGAAGTTTCCACATTAGCAGTTCATGGGGAATCTTATCAAAGGCTTTTGAGAGGTCCACGTAAATGATATCAACTGACATATTGGAGTTGAGAGCTTTTCTCCACTCAAAAACACTTTTCACTAAATTAGTAGTGGTACTCCTCCCAGCAACAAAGCCGTGGAGTTCCGGTGGAATCTTTTTATGTTTCTTGATCCAACAGACAAGCTTATTTCTTATGATTCTTTCCATCACTTTCACGGGAGTGGGAAGCAAACTTATGGGGCGGAATTCGGATACTTTATTTGCTATAGAGGATTTCGGGATAGGAGTAACCATGGCTTCCTTCCATAATCCAGGGACTTCACCGAAGTACATGGAAAGATTGAAAATGTCACATAGAGGCTCCGACTAGATTTCTGCACACTGTAAATAATTGGAGGTATACCGTCGTAGGGCTCCGTGCATGAAGATTTGAGGGAGCTGAGAATTAATCTCACATCAGCACGTCGAAAATAGACCATGTCACAGCTGCTTATGGCATCAGAAGCTTCAGCTAAGGGTTGAAACACTTGACTAGGTGGAGAATACACACTAGCAAAGTATTTACCCAAGGCAGTTGCCTTTTCACCATCACTCGCACATACTTTATTGGAACTGTCCAACAAAAAAGAGGAAGTGGTGCTGGTATGTAATTTATTGTGCATATATCTGAATAGCTTCTTCAAAGATGCGTTAGAAGATAACCGACGCTCATAATTTTTCAGAAACTTCTTCAGATGATAATTCAAATCCGAACAGACTTTTAAGTATGAAGAATTAGTCAGAGGGTTTTCCAAATTATCGAAAAGCCTCCGTTTTTGTTCAATGAGTTTTTGAATATGAGTCGGATATCGGGCTGACATAGAGTTACTGAATTTTTTCAAACACCCAAATACACTGAGCCCGTTGTAAATTTTCCCACAGAATCTTTTATAAACTTCCTCAATTGAATGGTATTCTATAAATATGGACTGCCATGCTTGTGCTCAGAAATTACAAGCTGTCAAGCTTGCCTCTGACTGCAACTCTTTTCGCAGCTGGCGTCGCTTCTGAGGGATCGTCGCGCCTGGATGATGGGTCCAAATGATGTCTAAGGCAACAATCTTTGATTACCCCAACAAAGTTGGCAGTAATCAAAGATTTGGTCCACCCTATGCAGAACGACAAGATCTCATAGTCACTCACTTGAAAAATGGTGCATCTTTAGGGGCAAAAAATGCTCGATTTTCTTAACCTTGTGGGGAAAATTTTCTTGCAGGTGGTAATTCAAAAAGATGATTGGTCTCCATAACAGTTCCAGCAGTCCTCTATATAATTACAGCATCTGTGCTCTCCAGTTCTCATCCTGCCTGAGATAATCTTGCACAAATAGGCCACTTTTCGCTTCTGCGCATGCTGGTGGACCGCAGTGAGGCGCTGAAAAGCCAGCAAGGCAAATATAAGTTGTGGACAAAATTGTCTTTGCAATGAAGTTTGTAGCTTCAAAAAAGAGTCAATTTGCTTGAAGTTACAGCGATTTAAAAAAATTTTCGCAACTGGAATTTCTTTACGACGTAGTACTTTGAGTCTGTACACTCCACCTTAAACAGCATGCTTAGGAGATCCCTGACAAAGATGTAAAAGCAAGCTGGGTAGGTTGAAACACAGCAAAAATATGCTTTTGAGCAGATTTGCATAATCAAACATTCTCTAATCCTGTCTCTCGCCGACTGACTATGCAGACGACACGCATGCATCGCAAAAATTTCTTTTTACGGCACGTCTTTCGTAATGCTTCTGAGACCATTTTTGGTACAAGTTTTCTGAGATATTCTACGCGTTTCACTTTCCCTCTTGGTTAGCTTGTTTAGAAGCCTTTTTTATTCAGGTAATAATCATGAACCCCTGGTGGAATGAGCTTATTTGCATCATTTGCTTAAGTGTAGCAATGACATCATTGATGACCAGCTATGACACCCAGTCATTCATTGTCGAATCTATTCTGCATTCAGTACATATGAGGGAGCCTACTAGAATAGACATTCATGCAGGTTATTACGGGTAAGTAAGATGGTTTGGATAATGAATACGAATCTGATTATTGCTAATGATCCATTCTATCAATATGACATTGCGACGGGTTGATGAATAGGGTCAACATCAATAAGCATAACGTGCACACCAACAAAGGTACTAGCCCATATCAATTGTTGAAAAGCCGAATTTTGATTTTGCGAAACTCCCCTTACTCAGTTCCTCTTATCACAAGCACTGCTGAATATTGCGCAGCAGCATGATTTTCTGATGTTATGGTGGGTATGTGATAAGGTTCAGGAACCTAGGTTTGTTCAGAACTTGGCATGGAGTCATATTACGTTTTGACCATGACGATATCAGAATGCTAAGGGGTCTTTTTTGAGCAACAGGGTGAAATGGCAAATTTGCGCTTCGTCGATTCAGTGTGTCCTCTATGTCATTCTTCCAACAGCTTGCGCAAAGCGTCGCAACACAGCCTCAAACGGCCGATCAAGCAGGAAGCATGAAGAGTTTCCAAAATGTTTAAAATACATTTTCTATGCATAGATCTTTATACGCAACATTCAACTTCATGGGCATTCTCTTCCTCTCTTATATAGTAGTATCTACCGATCTGCATTCATCTATCCTGATTTCACGAGTGCAAGACGTTCCTGATTTTTTCTAAACTCGATCAGCCTGAACAAGCCAAAAAATTTCGTGACAAAAGGTAGTGCTTCGTATTGGCTGAAGGTATCATTCGGCATAAGTTTCGTCTTATGAGACACAACGGCGGCTGAGCGGCTCGCTTGAAAAAAAGAAAAAGTCGTTCTTGCACTCATGGAATTAGCGTACTTCCAATCGCTCTCCGCGATATGATTTGGAAAAAATTTTTCACTTACCATCACATTATAAACGCAATAAACGAAGAACCTCTGTACAAATTTCGTACAAATGCGGGTCCTTTTACCTACCGTTCCACTGATGCCAAGTGGGAACCCGGTGCGTTTATGTCAGCGAAAGAACTTTCGTGGGCAAGATTTTTGGCTAAAATGGGAAAGTTAAGGCTTTGACGGCACTAACGATATTGTTAGGCTGAAACAAAAGGCTCAAGTAATATAGCACAATAGAGTACAGTGGTGGAGGATTCAACCGAGCGATGAAAGAACCAAAGCTAACAACGCCCTGAGTTGAGAGAGTCAGTGATGGTGAGACTGTCAGCAAAAAAAGATAGGCAAAAATGGAGAGAAATTGTAGAGAAAGATCATAATAAGGCAGTAGCTTGCCTAGCATCACAGTGCATCAATCAGATGGATCTGTCACATGCACATTCATGAAGCCATGTTTAAGATACAAGGACGAAGTTTCGTTATTTGTGGTAGTCATATTCAGGCCGGCAGTGGACCTTATTTGTTGGCAGCTTGATGTTTCCCGCTGGTTTCTTCTTTTTGCATTCTATTTATTACTACGCCACTCAAGCTCTGATGGGCATCGGCTTTGCCAGTGAGTATTCACTATTTTAAACCTTTCAAAAGACTTCTGATAAGGAATTGGCAGTGTACTACGCTGGACAGGGCTTCTATATGTCGGAACACTCAACTAAATCTACCATATCCAGAAATTCTGCTCTAGTGAGTGCTATTGGAAACTGCAGGTTGGTTGCTTTACATCCAGTGAGCTTGATATCGTAAAACAACAAGCAGTTTACAGTATGCTCAACGGCGGAATAATCATGGCTCTTATATTTTACCTTAGAAGAAAGAGCGATAACCTTATTGATGTGGTTAAAGACGTCGAAGGACCCAGCTACCGGTAAATGACTTTTTTGCACAAGCTCTCCTAATTACGAAATGGGCTTTCAGAGATTTCTCAAATAAGGAGATTTACTTAATTCACGGAGTTCTTTTGGTCTTTTCCTTTACCTCGAATATTATCTTTGCCTCGCTACCCACAAAAAGGATCAGTGACCGTGAACAATTCGAAAATGTCGACAAAGCAACCTTTCGTACTCAGCTGTGTTAGTTTTCAGTATGTTTCAATTGCACTGCCTCTTTCGCGGCAGTCGCATATACGCAGCGCGAGAGCCACGCTTGCTCACCCGGAGTGGTGGGCAAACGGGGCGGTCGCCATGTCGCTCAAGCCAAACGCTCCCTACGATCGCGCGAGGCACTCGTGAAGTGAAATGCAGATTGAACAAGGACACTACGATTGAGACCACTGTCAATCTTTTGCTTAATCATACTTACAGCCAATATTCTCGATTGCGCCAAAGAACGAAGATTGGTACTGCTAGCTGCATTCTTCGCATTTTACGGCCTCCATGTTTCTTATTTTCTCGGAGCCTACCCTACCACATTCGCCTTCACAAAAATACTTTCTACAAATGTCTATCTTCCCGCCTATTACAGTTTTATGTTAGGAGTAGGAAACGTTATAGGTTAGTCCAGTCTGCTAGCAACAAATTCATTGAATTCCGTTCATCTATTTAGCTGGCGGTTATATAGCTTTCTTCAACACGAGGTTCAGCAATTTTGGTCTCATACCTTCTATGGCAACCGAAGTTGTGCTCAGTATTGCTATGTACTTGTTGACCTTTGCCACTACTGCTAATCTGTCAACTATCCAAACAACCGATGACACATCAACATGGATTACACCATCGTAAGTTTTCATAACTATATTGCAGAAAGTCCTCTATTTTCGGCGTCTCTTGACCTTGAACAAAGCAAATTTATGTAATTGTACCTGTAGAATGTTTTCGTAACAAGCGAACATGCTAACATGATATGCTTGTGCCAAAAGTTGGAACCAGGATCTAGCGCGGCTTGGGCACGCCAAACATGGAAATCGCACGCTACGATAGCAAAAAATGGTGGGGGGGGGGGGGGGAGAGCGGTAGCCGTAATGCTATTGATGGCAGTGACAGTATGACATAGAGGGTAGGAAATGAAACAGGACTTTTTATCATTAAAAACTATTCTTATCCGTTAACAGCATGTGAGGTCAATCGACTTTGTAAAATAGCACACTAATATGCCGACCTATTACTGTACATTCATCAGATGTGGCCGGAGCTGCCGGCGTTATCACCTAAAGAGCAGACACGCACGGTAAATACCATAAGGTCCTACAACAACACTGCGTCCCTAGTGGGTTAACATGGCTACGCCAGCAACGCATGACTCGAACTCTGAGTAAAAAAGTCATCTATAGCCTTGAAATGACTCGAATTCTGAGTAAAGACTTCTATAGCATACTCGTTTTTGAAGTAAAGCCTTTTAGCTTTGCTTCAAAATGGATAAGCCCTATCCTTTTTCATCCACTTCAGAGCTTCTTTTCGGTCCATTAGGACTTCGCTCTAAACAGCGCCAAAACTGAGGAGTCGGTAGCTCAACCAAAACAGCTTTCGTTTTCTTTGGTTGGGCAACCGTTGTCCGGACAAATACGACGAATCAGGCTCGAATCACTCTCATTGAAACTATGAAGTTCAGGCTGCTATACTCCATATTTCGAAATTCACGGTGTGTGAAAGACCCCAAAATAGCTGTAGCAGCCACACTGCTCATTGTTATCACAGCGATTTTGCCAAATCACCTATATACAGATGTAAAGCTTAAATCATATAGTTGATCAAATAACTGATTTGAGCATGGTGCACCTTCATTCTTCTCTGAGTGATAGTCGCTAAAGCACAACCGTGCAAGCAAAAAATGCAATGAACGAGGTTTGACCTAATGTCATTGCTTGGCACTTAATCATAGTGAAATCTCTACTGGGTCAAGGCTTTAGGAGTAAAAAAGTGCAAACACACAGTGCCAGCCATGTTTGAAAATGAGTAGCTCACATAAGTAGACAATAGTAGACAATATAAAGCTTAGAATTTGTTGAAACTCAATGCACAGGGTTAACATTTAGGTTACAGTCTGCCCCAATCCTAACCAGGCCAAAATTGGCATGGCGGGAATCCGCATCGCTAGGGTTTTGCGATCACGCCCACGACCTGCTTCTCTGCTCTCTCTTCAATCCTTTTGCTCTCTCCGACAGCGCGCATATGCAGCGCAGACCGCTAGCACTAGCGTTTTGTATTGCATGGAGTGGTTGTATTGAGCCATAACCAGGGTCAAGCGTGAGGTGTGGCACACCTGGGGGTCGTATTGAGGGGTCAGGGAGAGGGGAGGGGGGTCGTTATCGAGGTGATAGTGATGTTAGAGACATAATATCCGTCAACAAGACCCATTGTGCAAAGTGCAAAGTACTAGCATTGATGTTTTGACCTACCGTCGTATACGTAGAAAGCATAATAAAAGAGCATCACTTTCTAGCAACTAGCATGTCAAATAACCTCTGCGGGCCAAGTTTGGGCGAATTTTGACGTTTCCAAATATTGGGCCGCCCAAAGGAGATCGTCATTTTCGAACAAGTTTACTTTGTTTCAAAGATGAATTGGCCACTTCTTTTTCGCACTCAATACAAAGTATACTACCACATCATTGCTCACATTGGGAATCTCACTTCAAATAACTTTTAAATATTAGAGCAAGCCAAGATCTCTTGTCCCATTTCGCTTTCAATATCTCAGACTAAAGAAGAAGAGACAGAATCAAATCACTATTTGTGAAAAAATTACAAAGATTAGGTTATCGAACATATTTGTTTTTGCAGCCTTTCCTCTCGAATCACATAGTGACGCATTCTTAGCAGGTTACCGTATTCCAATATTTTCGCAGTGCTTTCTAATTGCATACGACTACATTTTTTTCTAGGACAACAATTTCGAATGAAATTCCTGCTTAGAGAAGAAGGTCTAGCAGTAGCATTCATATATAAAAGCAGGTATGTGAATGCTCAGAAGGTAAGTTGATGGAGTGTGGCACAACCTTTAGAATGGCTCGGCAGCCACAGCTTTTCTAAGGTTGTGCCTATCCCATTAACTACCCCCAAGAAGAATTTTAGCGAGCATAATACACACAGTTCGATAGACTGAATCTCGTATTTTTCTCGTGATTGATTGGGGCCAGATTCATCTTTCTTTGCTCTGAGTAAAACTTGAAAGCAGAGCCTTAAAAGTGAAAATTGGGATCAACGACATTTTGGCCTGATTGTAATTCCAAAGTTTGATGGTTATGTAAAGCAGGATTCACGGTATGTGTGAATAGGGAGTAATACCTCGTATACAGCACGAAAACAACGCTAATTCACTTTTGAATTACAGTCAATCATGTTCGAAAACGACCACTTTATTTGAGTGGTTCACCGTTGGGAAAGCACAGATGCTTAAAGGCAGCGGCTCGGCAAAATGACAACTCTGGGACATTCATCGTTCTTGACCCTCTTGGATGAGCTGAGTCTGAATCTGTTCTTTGCAGCCTTCAAAGATATTGATAACTAGCTTTCCCGACTGAAAAGTGCTGTCAGGGCGGGTTGCGAAAGCGGCTGTTGGAGCCTCCAAATATCCAAATGCCGCCGAGATGGGTACGTATGTCCACTCATGAGCCAATCGCGCTCTAGAGGACAGGCTTACGCCGCGCGCCCAAATAGCACCTCTCACGTTTGGAAATTGGGCTATTGATACCATGTGAAGCTGCAAAGCTTGGTCTGAGACAGCTCATCCAGGAGAACCGAGAACAATGAATCGCAAAGCTGTCATTCTACCGAGCCGTTATCTTTAAGCCTGGCCCATCGGCTTTTTTGACGTGATAATCACGAATGTATGCATAATCATGCACGGAGAGCCCTATGTCATGCGTTCGGAAAGCAAACGGTAATGCGGGAGGGTGGAGGAGGTATTGAGACAGAACTTAGGGGGGATATGCAGCGTTTGTGTGCCACACCTCTTGCTCGACCCTGGCCATACCTCATGGGGAGAGGAAAGTGGGTCGTACCGACAATCGTGTGTCGCATATTTTGCTCGACACTGATTGGAACCTTGATCTTGCTACGGTTCAATACATACCAGCAATCCCCACTTGTACTCGAGACTGAGAAAAGTTTGATAATATGTCACAGAAAAAAAGTCTTGACGTAAATTTTAAGATGTAAAAATAGTTTTTTCTAGAGTTGCTACCTGCTGTATGCTCGGATTGTTGAATGGTATGATTAACTGCTGCTCATGCACAATGCGTGCACTTATCTGCACCATCGCTATTCCACGTAAGAGACTTCAGGCGTACTCTTTAGCCAAGCTTTATCAGGTAATTTTTCTGATTTTTTATAGTAAAACAGAACCATCTTTGATTACAGTCGGCCGCATCTTGCGCCGCATACTTCTTGTCACCGCAGTTGACCGTACGAGCGTGGATATTCGTTATGGCAGGTAATGCCTTCTATGTAGAATGGACCAACTAAAAGTAGTCTTTTTAACTTCTTCAGCAAAACTTTTTAACGTAAGAAGAATCCAAAATCTTGCGTATGTTACAACAATCAGGGTAATTCTGACTAGTCATCTAAACGCTAACAAAACTTAGTGAATAATATTTATACTGCTCTTTCCTTTCGGTTTCGTCAGTCTGATTTGAAGTGGAATGATATGCAGTAGAACTGAAGATAAGAAAATGATAATCAGCAGTGAGGCACGAGTTTAGAGTTTAGATCCGCAAGTCTAATTCAGGAATTCAACTCTTCTCAGCCACTGGCTTCGTTCTAGTTTCGAAGCAAATCCTGAGGGACGAGGTTAAGAACAAACTCCAACCGAAACACGTCATCAACAAAATCAAACCGTCAGCTTGACACGGCAATTTCTTGTCAGAGCTTATTGTTGTTATTTATTTTCCCAGGCAAAGTTGTTAATATTATGTATTTTGCATAAAAAAGCTTTGCTCAAACTTTTAATGCAAGATTGTACGTAAATCGGAAAGCATTACAAGTTTCAAAAAACAAAGTATAAGCCTTTTCAGTGCTTGCTTTTCATTTTCCTCTTTTTCTTTTTCACTTTCTTCGAGTTGCGTTGGGAATTGTTTGAGGACTCTTCTTTCCGAGATTCCTTTGGTGAAAATTTCGCTGGTGAATGAGGAGATGGCTTTTCTGACTCTACTACTTCACCCAGCTTCGCATCCTCGTTTTGGGGTACGTAATACTGCTTCTCGAAATCCCAATGCGTTTCTCTCTGAATTTGTACCAAAGAGAATAAGAAAATTAGGCTTCATGGAAATCTCTGCCATTACATGTAATTTATGGTTTTCCCCTTAACCTTCACATCTTAAATAGCGTACCTCATAAAAGTATCTAGCACTAGGCCTTGTAAAGTTTACAATTCTTTTGTGCATACGCTTTTTTTCCGGAATTTTCACTGATGTCATATCTGTGCAGATATTTTACGGATGCTGATCAAAGTTTTGTAGCAACGCATGAAAGCGATTCCACTTACCACTAAGGTTAATCACACTTCTCACAGAATTACCAAACAACAGTCCTCTCGTAAAAAACAGCCCATCTCTCTTCTTGAGTAATTTCAGGTCGTTAAACGGGTTCAGAAGTACTCTACAAGCGGACGTCAAAAGAAATGTCCGATGATCTAGGTGGATAGGAATGACGAACGGAACTTTTGGCATAGTTTCTAAGACGATCTTTCCTCATCACGTCTAACACGACTTCTGCATTCAGTTGTAAGTCATCGGCTGTGATGATATCCACTTCCTAAAGAGCAGTACTCATAGCAGACTGAGAGAAGTGACAGCTAGATATCCAACATTTTCGTGCATCCAGAATGGTTGGCTACCAATAAGAACTTGACCATTGTTATCTTTGTTACCAGTAACGATTGAACAGCCACTTTCAGCTTCTCACTAATTTCTTGCTCCTCTTTCGCCGCAACACTCTGTCATCTTAATTTAGATATCATACCAAAAGTGGGAGTGGTTTACCTTAGAAGTACCACAGTATCTTGCGTTGCTTCAACGAAAATCTGAAGTGATAGGGGTTACAAAGCGGGCTCTAAGAAATGAACAAATCATACATTTTCAGGGGTCTTTCTCCTCTCCGATGAAAGCCTTTGTGTACGAGGAAAAGCCACTTCTCCGTAAGTTTCGAGTTCTCGCTGCAGTGTCATTAGGAACTTTCAAGCCACCTTGTAAGCACATTTTTTAAAACTTAAAACCCGTCTTGGCAAAGCCTTGCCCTGACCCGCTTGGCGAATCTCTTCTTCGCAGCAGGTCTTATGGGTCTGCTAACGAAAATCTTCACTTTGCGTCCGAATGTCTCGCTAAGATCCAATAGTCGAATGCGATAGGTTGAACCATTCACTGAGGCGATCAGATTTCGAAAAATGTGGATGAAAGTGAGGGGTCTTTTGAGGCAGATACACTCGAAAAAAAGGTGAAAAAAACGAGTGGGCATTAGAGGGTATGAAAAGCGCGCTCTTAAATCTTATGTCTCGCCATTTCTCAAATTCTTAGTAGACCTGACACCATCGCCGGTGAGCTAGACAGCCCCCCCCCCCCTCTAGCAGAAAAGAAACAGGTCAACATTAGAGTTGCTGGTCATAATTTGTAGCAATTTGTCCCCGCGGAAGAAAATGCTACAAATTCATTGTTTTAAAGGCAGCAGCTCGCAAAAACCGAACATCCCGAAAATTTGATATGGAAGTTTGGTGTGTACCAAGTGAAATAAGGTGGACGAAGTGTTGTGGAATATTTATTCATACTGACGTAGATTAGTTGAGAGCGATCTGTCGAGGTGCCCCGGAGTCAACCGAGGAGGAACCTCTAATACATTCGGAGGCTCCTTATATGTATACGAAGGAAGGCGGAGCTGAACCGAATACAGGGTACAATGTGCACGAATTGCCGCCGATTGGCTACACTCCTGGCGCACGGGTACCACTCACTCCTGAGTGATTAGATACTCAAGAGTGAGTAGCTCACCATTTAGCCTACGGGGATTCCGGCTATACAGGATGTAGAGTTCATCAATGGTTGATGATACAGAGTTCATCAACAGGAAGGTTGCTTGCACCCCAAGCATAAGAACAGAGCAGGTCCGGCGCACAGTAGACCGCCCTTGCCTAGAACACTGCCCCTACCCCTTGCGCGCAAGCCATTCCAATAGGCGCGGGCGAGCTTTGCGATTCTCGCTGACCCATCAGAGAAGGCATGCCGAAATGTTACAACTGCGACGGTTCCGCAACGATTCTGCCTCTCTAACCATGGCGGGACGTGCTCCACTCGTCCAAATTCAAAATGGGGAGGGGGGAGGTCTTGGGAAATGGTGGTTTTTGCCGCTTTCGCGCTCTACAAGGTGGATTTTCGGAGTCAGCGCCTCGAACTACCCCAGTTAAGCAAAAAAACTTCATGTCGAGAAACTGCCGAGGCGCTGCCTTTAATGTTCGGTTCAATACTAGGTATATAATTGGAATACTACTATTCAAGGGAGGTTAGATTTAATAGGTTAGGCTGCAATGGCAAAGTTACTGCCTAAGCAAAGACAGCTATTTCTATAGAAAGTAAAGATAGTAAGTTTGAGTACTGGATCTTCCATACAGTACCTGAGTTTTGAGTGGCTAGTGAATATACGAATATGCCAATCTTCATCTACGACTGTGAATCATTTTGATGTAAGCGGATCGTCCAAGAATTTCAGAAAACGTAGGGAAAGGAAACTTATTAAATCTTGACGATCGCTTTGAACCTCTCCGCTGCTTTCCTTACTATAAAAAAGATTTTTTGATCAAATAGTTTGTCAATCAGAATACCACTTCCTATGTTCCGCCGCCTCACGTGGCACGGCAGTAGCCCTGGTGTTGAATTGCAATGTACAGGCAAACGTATGTATACTCTGGTGGGGCCTCATAGGCTATGGAGGAGTTCGACATTCCCAATTTCAGTTGGATGCTTAGCCTTGGAGCTGACCAAGCCAGATCCCCGACGTCTGGCTTTTCTGATCGCTTAGCGGTCCCCGCTCCACATCCAAGGTTTGCAAACCGTCTCATGAAGATCAAAAAGTAGGCCTAATGAGCTTGGTCTTGCCATAGAGAATTTTATTATTTCAACAGCTAAAAGAAGGGAAAGAAACCCTCATATCAAACCCCGTTGGGCCGGGTGGTAGCAAGAACGTTGTCAGGGTTCTCAGGGCGTCTTTTGGATGGGGCAAAAACGACAAGTCTGCCCGGACGACCGCCTCAGGCTTTGCACCGAAAACGCCAGGACAAAACTTTACAAACAACGACCTCCACGCTTTTTTTAACGCTGCGACACATCAAGTACACGTCAGCTCAGGAAACGAAGTCCATGAAGATAGACGTGCGATAAATTAGTGATGGTACTCTCACCATTCGTAGTAAGAAAGTTCCATCACAAAACGTATCAGGCGTTGGCTTTTCATCCACCCATCTGTCATCCATCTTGTCCATTCACATGAGATCCGATCAGCCCAACTTGCATTCGAAAACAGGGCCACCACGTCAGAGGACCATCAGCCTCATGACCTATTATCCCCAACATCAGTGGCTGGCAAATCAAAACTAGATACTTACTCCAAAGAGTGAAGGATGTCGTCTATAACTAGAACTCTACAAATTGTGTGGGCGACCTCAGCGCGAAAGTCGGGATGCGCTAGAAAAGGAATGTGGGATCTGAAAGTTTGGATATCGGTTTCGGAACAAAGTGGCAACCGTCTCGTTGGGCACCTTCGCCGCACGAGTTTCATGAAAATATAACATTCATGAAAATTCATTTTCATGAATGTTATATTTTCATGAAAAAAAGAATATTACCGGTGGACATGGGAATGAATCGCCCCACGAACGACTCATGCGGAGGTCAACCGCATTCTCACCAAAACCGAAAGTAACTTGGCGATGTCTCAGTTGCTCCATCCCTCTGCGGGGGCTCCGATCACCGTTTCATTCGAGCGAAGTACGTTTCAGTCGAAAGCTGGAAAAAGCCTGCCACGCGCTGCAAGAAGGAGGGGTTGTTTATGACGGTAACAGGTTGGAAGAGCTCATACCAAGTTGTGACCGGTCCATTGGGGAGGACCCGACGTATGATGACTACGACCGGCCTCTGAAAGGATTGCGAGTCTGCAGAGAGTGTGCCTCAGTGAATTCCGAGAAAACCTTGGAACGCATTTCGAAGATCACTCGAAAGAAAAGATTTTTGATGCAGGATCTCCGAATGCAACCCACCTCGACGACTGATAGCTAAGTCCAGTTGCAGAACACCAGTGGCGTACCCAGGATTTCGGCTCGGGGGGGGGGGGGGGGGCGACAAAAATTTTTTCTAATGAACGTGTGTGGCTTTAGCCACGACTGAGAAAAATTTTTTGGTGTGCTTCTCAAAATCTTCGCGGGCCCATAATCCCAAAACTCTAGGAAAAGGGGGCGTGGCGTCAGCCACACCCCCGAAAAAAATTTTTGTAAGGCTAAATTGAATTTTTAAAAAATTTTAAAAAATTATTCTAATTATTTACAAGTGCAGACAAGTTTGCACAATTTTATAACCTGTCTGCACTCTGCACTTGTCTGCACTTGCCTGTGTTAACATCAAGAGTGCAGATTTGGTATGGGACTTCTGCCATCTGCTCCCGTTGATGATTTCAAGTCTACACAGCACATAAGCATACCGCTTCAATGTTGGAACTCTCTCGTAAGACATTGTTTCTGTTGCAATTTAACAAATAAGCGATAGAGAAACAATTACAGAGGACGGACAATTGTTTACTGCAGATATTGATGACAGCTGTAGAAGTTTGGCAAAAAACGAGATCATTCAACGAGCTAATTTTCCACCAAGCGC